AGGCACTGTTAAAAAGGTTCTGAAATTTCACATCAGAATCAGTTGTAAAATTGCGAACGTCGCTGAGAAATTTTATAACATTTTCAATTTTTATTAAAATTCAAACTGGTTTTCTAAAAATTTGGAGACATTTCTAATTTTGCAATTTGCGATTGTAAAATTATGATCACTCTATCGGAAATGTGAGATCTCTTGCCCCCTTGACCAGAGAAAGCTCGCTGAGAGAGGAGCTCGGTGGACCAATTGGTCCTTGAACAACAAGGAACTGTTTTTACCGTGTCAATCATCTACAATTTTTGTGATTTTCTTCTAATTTTGTGTTCATGAAATGGCAAAAAAACGCAAAAAAGGTTATTTTTTAAAATACGGTTTTTCTTACTTTTTTCTGTTTTGGCCCAATGGCAGGTGAGGAGTTAAATGAATCAGATAAATCCAAGGACAAAAATCTCTTTCCTCGAAAGTTAGAATTCCGAGAACATGAATCAAATCGGGCAAGTGCAGAAGTACTAGCTTCGATATTGAGGGCAAAAAAACATCATCTCTGACGCATTTCGAGCACGGATCCCCCTTTCTTTTTCTCGGTAAACCGGTAGCAGGTGCTCAGCGGAGCGGGTGGATACTTACGGAGAGATGGGCCTCTGGTCGACACCTGAGAGGAACAACTGCTCTTATCTCCGTAGGCTGCAAACAAAACCGCTTACCTCCGTGATGTGAAAACAAAACCGCATACCACACAAACCAAACCGCTGAAATGATATTTTTACTCATCATGTGGTACTAGTATCAAACTGACCACAGAAAAGTTCTCTTTCAAATAACACCCATATCTCAAAATATGTTAAAAAGTCACTTAAGCGGTTTGCGTGTCCTAGAGGTATAATTGGTTTTGTTTCCACATCACGGAGGTAAGCGGTTTTGTTTGAAGTCTACGGTGAGAAGCGGTTGTTATTCACAGGTCCTGGAGGATATGTATTTAGCCATAAGTAGGGTCGAAAAGGAGGGTCCGGCGAAAAGGAGGGTCGCGCCGAGGAAGGTCGCCGAGGAGGGTCGCCGAGGAGGGTCGCCGAGGAGGGTCGGAAGGAGGGTCGCCGAGGAGGGTCGTCGAAAAGGAGGGTCTGCGCAAACCGCCGCGTACGCTTGTTTGAGCTCGCTCCTGTCCGATTTTTGGACACTTAGGCATCCGTTCACGTTCGCTATGAACTATGAACACCTGAAATGTGGACTGGAGTCAGCTCAATCAAGCGTACGAAATGTGGACTGGAGTCAGCTCAATCAAGCGTACGATGCGGTTGCGCCGACCCTCCTTTTCGATGACCCTCCTCGGCGACCCTCCTTCCGACCCTCCTCGGCGACCCTCCTCGGCGCGACCCTCCTCGGCGACCCTCCTCGGCACCTCTCCTTTTCGACCCTACTTGTCGATATGCTGAAATTTGAGAAGAATGTGCTTCAAAGAGGAACAGGCTTCAAAAATAAAATAAATGGGGGACTACTTTCCTCATCCCACCGCAGGACGACTTTTTTGATCGCGGGAACAGCCGAATCACAGTGGTCAGTACAAACTCCCGGGGTTTGTGAGACGGTTGACGCGTAAGCGTTGGTAAAACTATATACTGACCCACCACAGGTCATGGAGCTCCTTAATTAAGGCCAGATTCACAGGTCTTATTAGTGCACGCGCCACCGCACACCGAGAAAAAAGTTTAGCTGATCCAAGCATAAAATGATGCGTGATTTGAAAAATGCACCAATGCGTGGTGGCTCTAAAAAAGTATCTTTGAATCTGGCATCAGATGCGTGATCTACGCATCAGTGCGAGATCTAGGCACTTGGTGAATGCTTGCATCAAGTGCCGTACCCAGCCAGAAACGTCGTATCGATATTCCGTCGAATCGACATCGACTTGTCGAAAAATTCATCGTTTCGACGTATTTTTGGACCTCTGGTACGACCAACGACGTCGAAATGACGGCGTTACGACATGCCATTTCTGGCTGGGTATGCTTGACCCACGCATTCAATGCATACAGCAGCCGTCATATACTTGTTGGAAAACCAAGTATCTTGTATGCGGAATCCACGCATCAGACGGCTGGTTTCGGCATATACTTTTCTCTCCGTGCAGCAAGGTGCCAGGCACCAGGGAACTCCCACGGCCCGCTTTCGCTGGGAGTTGAACCCCGGCTCAGAGCCGAATCATTTGCCACCTTCGACGCAGTTTAAGCACGACGGTAACCACTACGCCGTTGGAACTCCACGAGAGAGGCGTGGTGAAAGGGCGGGTTTGAAGTTCATTTGAAATTTGGTGGCCTGAGAAAAATTTCAGATCGATGGAGATTCGGTCTATTTTTCTCCGACCAGGTGATTTTTCTAAAATCCCCAAAAATACTTTCCGACCTAGGTTTTGTCCGACCTATTTTTCTACGACCTCGTCGATATGCTAAAATTTGGGATGATTGTTGTTCTTCAAAGACGAACAGGCTTCAGAGGCCATGAAGGGGTACTTTAAGTGCAGTGAGGGAACAACCGCGACTATGACGGAGTGCAGCACCATGTCACGTGTTCTAGAACAGTCAAAGGTCCACTCCGCGCCGTAAATGCAAAAGCCCAACTCCCTCCACCCGGTCAAAATAATTAAAAATTTGGGGAGCACGCGCCCCTCTTCTGAGTTCTGACGCGAATCAGCCGCTTCCAACCACATGTGCTCATCACAGGTCCTGGGGCCGTACACCAACGCCACATGGAAAAGCGCAAGATCTTGCCGAGCCTGGAGTCGAACCACCGACCTCCCCACGCTCTGGGCGGGTGCTCTACCGAGCCATAGAGGCGAAATGCCGGATGTCGCTCCAGGGAACCAACGATTCTACGCAGTCGCTGACGGCTAATAAAAAAAAATATGTAGGAAATGTGTAGGAAATATTTGGCTTGCACAACATGTACTAATTTGTGCGTTTTTAAGTGCGGGGAACAACATCTCAAAAATGGCGATAACATTTTGGAGGTTTATTTGGTGAGAGGCAAGCCCATAAAAACGCATTGAAGGTAAAACATTTTGGGCACATTTCATGCGCATGCGCATAATACGGATAATAAATTTTAATTGCATGTTACATGCATTGCCTTCAATTTAATGGGCATTTAATGCTCATCAAAGTGCAAGAGAGAGAAAAGACGGGCCTGCCGTGTCCCAATTGCGACTCGTACCCCAGGTTGCCGACTTACTTGTCAAGCATCTCGTGCAGTGCCTGAAATTTCAAACAAAAAGATGAATAACTTAACGAGGAGTCTAGTATTTGAACCCCCGACGCGGCGTCCAACCTTAGCAATGATATCAAAGAGCCACGCAGCCGGCCTATATATGCCCGGTGAGATGGTGTCGTGATGGAACCAGTTCTTCTCCCGCTCAAGCACTATATCGCGGTAAATCGTGCCTTTGGCCTAGCTCGCCCGGCCACTCGCACTGTGGCGTTGTAGCCGCGCCGGTAGAGAGTCGGTCCCATGAGTCACGTGTCCGGGGTTCGAATCTACGCACACAGTTACATTTTACAGAGCCGGTCGAACTCTTGGAGTTGAACTCAACCCCGTCATTTCAACGGTAAACTTCGTGGATGAACAAACGGTCTGGTGGTTAACCCCATCCCACTGGCCCGGGGGTGTCTATGACTCGGCACTTGGGTCCTATCAGGGGCAAAGGTTCGACCCTCGGCGAAAGCGTGCCAGGTAAGATCCATCCCAGCCACAGCGGGAGTGGTAAACCGTGTGGGATTGATAAGTCCCTAGAATCTGGCTCTTCGAAGGAATTCAACGACTCGGAAGCTTTCCGCTCGGATCGCATCTGGGTGCAGTACCGGGTGTCCGGGAGAATATACGCGGCAGATCGATGGGTTGCCTACGCACTGGTGGCAGGCGCGAGAGGGGGAGCGGTGAAGGTAGGAGGTGGCAATCGGCTGCCTCCCACCACCTCTTTCCCTCCCCCCTCGCCCTCCGCGCCTGCACGTCAGTGCGGAGGCAACCCATCCAGCTGCCGCGTATTCTCCCGGACAACCGGTACAGGCTCACCACCGTACGCCCGTCTCCTCTCTTTCTTACCCCCTCCGCTCTACCCCCAGTTCCCGGTCAAGCGGAGTGGTGAGAACCTAGTCGATGGCTGTAAACTCCGGTGTCAAAGAGATAGTCAAGTAACCCGGCCCTCACAAGGGAAGGTTTTTCGGTGATACACTCAGATTTCAATGGCGCTTCAAAGTGTTGTTGTTTTCATCCCTAGATTAGGTTTTGCATTGGTTTTAGCTGCCCGTAGGGAGTATGAAGGTCGTTTTACGCGAATTTAATCGAAAATTCGCCAAACTTTTTAGCCTGATTATCAACTTTCCATGCACGTATCTCAATAACCGTTTGAGCTACAGCGCCTAGATTTTGACTGAAATCATAATTTAGCACGTTCTATAATTGTAGAAAATTTGAACGAAATCAATTAGGGTCGCAAAAACGGGTCCGGAGAGGGGGTTGCGACCCTAGGCCACTTTTGGTGAACCCCATTGATTTGGTTCAAATATATTTCATGGAAAGTACTAATTGAAGGATAATTACCTGCAAAATCTGGGCGCTGTAGCTCAAACGGTTTCGGAGATATGTGCATGCAAAGATGGCAAAAAAACGATGATTTGGGAAATTTTTGATGAAATTCTTGTGAAATGACCCCCAAACTCCCTACGGGCAGCTAAAACCAGTGCCAATCCTCATGTAGAGGTGCAAACAACTACTCTTTAAAGTGCCTTTGAAATCTGACTGTATCCCCGGAAAACCTTCCCTTGTCAGCTGGGTGCCTGAAAACACCGCCCTTGCCTTCTCCTTACACCCTACTGAAAACTTCGGATTTCATTTTACCCGAAAAAGAATGTTCTGTAGTCAGGTCGCAGTAAGCTGACCATGGCGTCAAGGTTGACTCCGCGAGCTGACTTTGGCCGGCGGCATTATGGCCACCATTTTGTGGCCACCAATAGGGACGTGTTGATAGCGCCTGCTGGGTAGGCCAACCCGCCAAGCTGCTGCGTGGAGTCGGCGGCCCGCCCAGCGCCCAGCCTTGTTATTCATTTCTCATATTTTTACTAATTTCTCATACTTAAAACTGAGGTGGAAAGGGAAAGACGTGGTGGCAGGGGTGGGGGAGGCTGCTTCGCTTGTTCCATCCATCAGCTGAATGGTTCGAAGATGTTTCCAATGCGCTGAAAGTTACTCAGATTATTTTCCTCTTTTTAATTTATTGAAATATTTGAACCTAGATGACATTAGGGGTGAAAAGTAGATATATTCATATCGTGGGTGTCCTGCAATTGAGTTAATATTACGGTTTTGCTGTGTAATGGCTGTTTGGTCGTCAACTAACCAAACTTCTGCCGTCAGTCAGTAAACATGATGTCTCTTTTAACTACACAAAGATACATTATCAGGTCATCAGGAAATGCCCTTAAAAGTGAGTAATTTTGTAAACGCTGTTCTTTTTACGCGAAATTTCGAACGAATTGTGTGATAAACTGGACATTGTACTTTTGATATCATGCAGACGACCTAACCTTGGTCAAACTTGAGTCAACCTTAAGGTGCTTTTAGTGTTTTTATTATTTTAGTTAAATATTAATTTATCTCGTAGTTTTGGTATTTTTAAGATGTTAGTGTGCTTGGTTCAACCATTAGATATCATTTTTCATTTATTTCAATTTTTAAATTCTCACCAGGTCTATAACGTTCCAAATTTCTTTTACAATTATCTTAGTGAAGATTTTTGTTGTGTTTTTTTGAAGTGAATATTCTATTGTCCCCCTTTCCTTGAAATATTATACCACTACAGTTTTTCATTATTTATAATATATGATGCAATCATACCTGACAAGATGTATTCATGATGTATTGTTTTTCCAGGTTACAACCACCGATGGTCCTCTGGGGATTACCGAGCTTCTCCATACAAATTATTATCTTCCATTAACTCACCTAACTGGTATACTGAGAAACATGTTGCCTTAGTACATACCAGCCATCCATCGCATGTCTTGCCAGGACAAGACCATAGATGTCCGAAGGGCTCAAGCTCAAGATGCACAATTTTAATACGCCATATACATATAGGATCAAGATGTTTTGACAAAGAGCCTGCAAAAGCCTCTTCAAAAGTTGAAGAAGCTGTTAATTTGCTGAAAGGGAAAGCAAAGGATGAAACTGATGCTAAAGAAAATCAAATTGTTCCAAAGAAATCTATAAAAACTCGCATCATAGAGGAGATTAAACATTATTACCATGGTTTTCGACTTCTTTATTTAGATTTTAATATTTCTAGAAAGTTAGCCATGAAAGCCTTAAGAGGAGAGACACTCAGCCGAAGAGAGCATAGACTGGTAGGTTTGAACTGAATGACATTTATTCATCACAATAATGTTGTTTCTCAAATCTAACAACCTCTTTTCTCTTCCACAGTTGGTGAGGACCACAGGTGACATTTTTCGGCTAGTTCCATTCTCAGTGTTTATCATAGTGCCCTTCATGGAACTGCTTCTGCCTGTGTTCATAAAGTTCTTCCCAGGAATGCTACCATCAACTTTTGAGACTGCAAGTGACAAGGTAAATAAGCATTTTTTTACTTCTTGAATTACATGTTAAGAACATCCTTTTATATTGTGTTTTTATATTTAAGGAAGCAAAGATGAAGAAATCCTTGAAAGTTAAACTTGAAATGGCAAAGTTTCTTCAACAAACCCTTGATGATTTAGCAGTTCAAGCTAAAGACAGTGACCAGTCTTCCAGCGCTGCTAAACAATTTGCAGACTTTTTTGACAAGGTGAATAGCCACTAAAGCAGGCATTGGTGAACCATCTCAAAATCTGGGCTCTAACATTTTATTTTTACCCACAGATGCGCAATTCTACAGAACCTATTTCAAACCAAGATATTATGAAATTTTCTAAGATTTTTGAAGATGAGATAACACTTGATTCATTATCTAGACCTCAACTCATTGCCTTATGTCGTGTGCTTGAAATACAACCTCTTGGTACTAGCAACTTTCTAGTCTTTCAGCTTCGTATGAAATTACGAAGTTTGGCTGCTGATGACAAGGTATTAAACTAGACCCTTTGTTTCTTTTAGGGAATCAAAATAATTTACTTTGGATAAGATAGCTCATTTTCTGAAATTGTTTTAGATGATTCAGCAAGAAGGTATTGATTCTTTAAATGCCAGTGAGCTCCAACAGGCTTGTCGTGCTAGAGGAATGAGAGCATATGGTCTTTCTGAACAAAGACTAAGAAGCCAGCTAGAACAGTGGCTTGACCTCAGCTTAAATGAAAAAGTCCCACCATCTCTTCTGTTGCTGTCCCGAGCACTGTTGCTACCAGAGACAGTGCCAACCAGTGATCAACTGAAAGCCACTATTTCATCACTTCCTGACACTGTGGTAAATTTCATTACATAGTGTTCTTGTTTCCTAGTTTTTGAAAAGACAGCAAAAGATACATCTCTCTCCCTTCATTTCACAGATAACGCAAACTAAAGCAGCTCTTGGTGAGCGTGAAGGTAAGACAGATAACTTGACCAGGCTTCAAGTTCTGCGGGAAGAAGAGAAAAAAATCAAAGAAGAACAGCAAGAACAGAAGGAAGAAATGGACAGAAAAGCAAAGGTCTTTAACATTTTAATTTCTCTTAATTTCCTTGTCCTTCCTCAACATCATAACAATACGTTTTATATTATTATTTTTTAATTTAGGAGGAAAAAGAGATCCTATTGGATTCTGCCAAAATTCTTACGGATGGTGCTAAACCCTTAGAAACTGTTACTGATGTCCAAGCGCCAATACCCTCAGGAGTTGCGGATACTAAGAAGGAGGTATTTTGTTTATTCACTATTGTACTATGCTAGATCTGACCTGGTTTTTCCTCCTTGCGTTTGGTTACATTTTCTTCTCTTTGTAGGATCTCACTGCGTCTGATATGGAAACACTTGAAGATGCACTTGACTCATTAAGCAAAAAGCGCAGGAAACTGCTGGTTGAAAAAGAAGAGCTGGAAGATCTTAAGGAGGAAATGGCTGACTATCAAGAGGTATAACTTCTCTTCATTTTTAATCTTTAGAAAAAATGTAAATTTTACCCTAACTTGAAAATTTAATGCTGTAGGATTTGCAAGATCTTCAAAATGTTGTTGGTAGCCAAGGCAAAAAGGAACCTGTTGTAGCAGAGTCAAAGGCGGCTAAACGTCTTTTCTCTAGAGTTAATAAGATGATTAACAATATGGAAAAGGCCCTTTTAGATATTGAAAAGAAGAAGAAGGAAGAGCCCGAAAAGTAAGATTGTTTAACAATAATTTGAAGTTACCCATCATTTTCTGTAAATGAATTGGCTATATGTGATATTTTAACTTTCAGGGAAGAGGTTGTTGGTATTGATGAACTTATTGCCACTATACAACAAATTCAGAAAGTGCCTGATAGTGCACGATTGGAAAGACTTCAGGAGGCTTTGGCAAAGTTAGATGATGACAAAGATGGTTCAATCCCTGTTGATGATCTTCTAAAGGTAAGTGTTTAACTTGTTATTTTTGTCAGCAAATATCAGCTAGGTATTTGATAATATTCCATAATTGTTTTTCTCATTTTAGATGATTGAGTTGATTGGAGGTGATCAAAATGTCAACCTATCACCAAAACAGTTAGATGAATTAGCTCTTCTTTTAAAACGAGAGGAAACCTTGTTATTGGAGGATCAAATAGAGAAAGCATTGGAGAAACAACTTAATCAGGAAGAACTCAAAAATGAACCAAGAGAAAGCACGAAGGTAATCTCTAGTAATGCTCAAATTTTATATCTTGCTTGTCATGAATTGCTTTATACCTTCTAGATTTAACTGTGATTGTATCGTTTTGAACAGGATTCTACGGAACCATCATCTTCTAAGCCCAATAAATCTCAAAAGCCACCACAGAATCCCCCCAAACCTCCATCTAATGGGGAACCATCTGAGAAATCATCAATAGCTGCCAATTCAGGTGGGAAGACTGGGAGTTCACCTAAACAAACATTATGAAGATATTCTGTGATGAAAATCAAAAACACAACCATGAGATGTGTATTAGGCAGTACCGACTCGAAGTCATTCCTTCGTTTTGGTGTCATTGACTGAGAAAATGGTAGTGCGTGGTACCTTTGATGTACAATGTGAATTATAGGTGAACTATGTTTTTCATACAAATTATAAGTGAAACATGTGTCCTTGTGTAGTACCAAACTCTGACCACCATATTTTTATTTTTTCTTTCTTTTAATTGGTTGGTGATTAATACAATTCTAGCTAGTTAATGAGGGCCAGTTAGTACTTACTGTTGTGTAAACTGTATTCCCATCTTCTATCCTTAAGTTTGTGTGAAACAAATGGTGCACTTATTTTTCTGATTTTATTTGAATTGGTTTTCATAGAGGACCAAAGTACAGTGAAAGCTTGTTAATGTGGCTTGTACGTATCCAATATTATAGATTGTTTTATGTAATTGAGCAAGGTATTCTGTGATCAGTTGTTTGTTTTCCCGAGTCATTGTTTTAAGATAAGTTGCCTTTCTTTTGCAAACTCTGCTGCTGGTCAGTTTGAGAGGTGCAGAGGGCTATTCTAAGGTGTCCCTGTAATTTGCAAGTGCTTATTTGCCCTCTTTTTGTTAGGCTGTCATAATATGGTGTTTGATTCAGAGACATGTATTTGTTTTGAACACAAAAAAGTGAAGTTTTGATATACTGCAAATACATTTACATACCTGTGAAAGATTAAATATAAGGTATGTAATTTGTTGTCCAAATCAACTGACTGTTCAAACCTGACCAAACCCTATCTAAGAACATTGTGTTGTATGATTATGGTAGAGGGCAGGTACTGACACTTTTTAAACTATAAGATTAATTTAACCGTCAAAATAACCATATATGTTCTTTCACTGTGCTCTTGAACTCCGATCAATAAAACAGTAGTTCTGGTTGTGGTAAGTGTCATCGTTACTTTATTTTAAAATTAAATTATCCTTCTGAGGTTTGGTTATTTCATCACAAATGGATGTGGTAAAGGTATAGTACTACACAAGTTTCGCTCTCAAAGTATTGATCTGTTGTCTGTGGAGCAAGATTTGTGAACTCTAAACTATAAAATAAGCAAGAAAGTAAGAAATCCATCTGTAAATCTTCATACTCTGTTTAATAAAATAAAATAAGTGTGAACTCTGATGACAATAATTCTCATAGACCTGTGGAATTTTCCAATCCTTTTGCAACTGTTGTAAAATTACATTGATTTCTTAAGTCATTTGATTTTATTCTCAAGGACATTGTTTTTTAGAACTGCCTAGGCCTACGTCTTGAGTAACCTTGGGAACTGTGTAACATCTGCTGAATCAGACTTGCTCAGATTGTTGGGACTGTATTGTGATAATAAATCAGTTATATGTAAGTAAACTATAGATTTCTCATTGAAAAATTTTCATTGCCCGTCTTCTTTTTGACAGTCTTGATGTTTGACAGTCTTGCAGTCTTTATGCTATCTGCTTTTCGGCATCTTTAAAAATATACCCATACTTCACATCTGCTGTTTTCTTTGTTTTTGTGAACAATTAAAAAAGTTCCTTCAGTGTTCAAAGCTGTGAAAGTTTACAGAGAAATGAAAAGTTTTAAGTGTTATTACTACGTACTGTAAAAAGTAACTGTTTCCTGTTAGGATTATAAGGTTGTACTTTTGTGTGCTTTATTCTACTTAATTAAACAAGTCGTAAAATCTCATGAAAGCATCTTGCACACTTACAAGAAGGACCGACCACCTACTCATCAGGTCCCACAAAAAATAGATCGCCAGGACTTGATCTGTCGCCCGGCGTTGGCCAGGTGATCAGGTCGAATAGATACAAACATCGAGTCTAGAACTCGGTCCTTCCTTACGGCGGACAAGAC